TCGGTCATCTTCTCTTCGGGGGGGGGGGGGGGGGAGGGCACTCATCAAAGTTTTATACTGGGAGGCCCTGCCACGAGTTCCAACACCTTACCCTTTTATAAACCATTTTAGACATAAAAGGTACCCCTTTGTATACCTTATGTCGGACAAATGGTATTCCTTTCAGAACTTTGCATCTCTTTAAACTTCTGTAAATGCTCTGTCTGTAAAATATATAGTAAATCACAAAGCAGTTAGCCTGCGTAGCAAGCGTTTCCAATCGAGTTATTGCGCGAAAGTTAGAGCGGAAGCAAAATCCTTCTTTCCCCTCCCCCTCCCCCGTCATTTTTTTTTTGCTCTTGTCCCAACTTTCTAGACGAACCTCGCGAGGAAACGCTTGCTACGCAGGCTACAAAGCAGTAAGTTTTCTCGACTTTTTTGCAGCCATGATGAACCGCATCTGTTATACCTTAGTTTAGACAGGAGTCGATTAGTACCTGGTAGGGGTCATTATAGGGAGTCGCCACACCCCCCGAGCAGAATACCCGTCTTACCGTTGCACTTGCCAGCTGAATTTTTTCTCAATATTCTTAAGCTCAAAAATGAAAAAAAAAATCCAGCATACAAATGTTAAAGTTATACCTGTTTGCTGCAAATGAATCCACTTATATTAGTGTGGCGTCATAACGAGAGAGGATATAGCGTAACACTTCGTAAAGAGCCTGGGGGGTAGACCTGGAAATTCTTGGTGGGGGTATGCCGCCCTGTTCTCCAAATGATGACCCTATTTCGGACCAAAAAAATGTCATTTTTTCATACCTGTTTTCAGACCTGACTGCTAAGAAATTATGTCATCATCACTTAGAGGGTGTGAATGGGGTTAACCGACTAGCGACAAAGGGCGAAAAATATTACTGACTACCGACAAAATGAGTAAAAAATTACCAACTACCGACAGGAAAAATATTAACCGACTACCGACATGGGCTGATATTATCAATATTTGTTTCCAGAAAAAAGAGCATTTTGTATTTAATCTAACCGTTAGCTCGAGGAAGTAAGTAACCTCTTTAAATTTATGACTCATCAGATGGCCTAAGGGAAAGAATTTCCTTTTTTTGTTGTTGATACAGGTACATTGCTACAGCCAATATCAAAATCACAAAGTCACACCTTAAAGATGCTACCGACTTTATAAATTTTATTGAAAAGTCAAAGGTGAAAAAACCGAACGTTTTTTGCTTAGATTAATCCTCAAAGAAAATTCTTTCCGGTTTAATGTAAAGAACTATCAGTACAAACCCACGTTACCGCGATGAGCACAAAGACAGCAGTTTCCTTTCCAACATTTTCATGGCACATATCGAAACACAAAGTTTAAGCAAAACCGTCCCGTCTTTAAACCAATTGTTTGAAAACGCTACATAAATGACATTTTTTCCCTATGGGACATAAGTTTAACCGACTACCGACAAAGATCAAAAATTTTAACCGACTACCGACAAGTGGACCACCCCCATTCAGACCCTCCACTTAGACTAGAACAGCAATAAAACGATTTCTTAAAATCCATTTTTGAATTCTGTACTTGTTTTCAGACCAAACAAAGGCTATACCCTTTGGGGCGACAAACCGTATATGGCTTATATAAGGGAGTACCCCCCCCCTCCCCCTCCTGGGTAAGGAGGCGTAGGATCGATTCTGGGCAACCTCGTCCCCAAGGCTCGCGTCGGAAAAGCCTTTTTAACTTTCGAAGGGAAAAAGCCTGAAGGACGAAGTTGGGCTCTAGCCTGGGCAATTCATTTCTTTTTCTCCGATTAGAAACAGTTCAAAAGGGTCTTCAAGGGATTTCAAAGTGCCAACCGTTGATTTTTTACCATTTACATGGGCAAAACCGGTTGGCTTACAGTTCAGTGGGACATGGTAAGCAAAATTCTGTACGTGTCTAGTAAATTTCGTACCGGAATCGCGTTTACTATTTGCACAAATCAGTTCCATTTGCCAGAAAACGGTCGTGAATATTCCACTTGCACATCTCCCATAGTACATCTAATTTGCCACCCAAAATTTTTTCATAACCTTTGTTTTTCATTTCTCCTGGCTATTACAGCCGTCCCAAGAGAAATTGAAAACAAGGTGTATTATGGGCGATGCCGCAAGTGGCGTATGCTTGAAACTGCTTTAAAGAAATGCCGGAACACGAATTTCTGTTTGGACCCTTCCGAACCGGGAGAACAATACGACCTTTTTACCTTTCAGACGTCCTGTTGCTCTCGGAGGTTTTCTAAGGAAATGACCCGAAAAGCAGTGTTCCATGTACTTTTCAACCGTATTTTCCGGAAACATTTCATAAATGGTGAACAACATTTGTTTCCAAGAGGGAAAACTGTAACACTGAAAGATAAACAACGTCCATCACTGACTGAATAACCTTTTAATTTGCTTTTTTAATATTCTGTTCTTTCTGGTTTAAAAAATATATATATATATTCTTTTTCTTTCATAAAATAACCATAATAAAATAAACAACACTTATCAGGAGGAGTAGTTTAGCACTGATACGTAAATGAAGATGTATACCAGTTGATACGTGTGCACGCCTATCGGCAGAGTGCTCAATAGAAGGACTAGAGCGTAGTATAATAAGAAGATATGTATAATTATATACATAAAAATATTTTCTTCATATTGTTACTTGTCACCAATTACAATTTATACACCATAACCGTTATCACAATCCATAATACAATTCTACAAAAAAAAAAACTAGAAAAAACTCTGGGTATAAATATATACAGAGCTATTGGTACAGAAAGCTTTTAAACACGTTAAAATAATTCACTCAAAGTAGTTCATGCTTAGGTATTGCTGCTTTGCAGCTGATCTCCCGGCGGCCTTGTAGATTGACTAGAACTAGAAATGCCTTTGTCTCTATTGGGAACTTAACATATTTTTACATGCGACTTCGGCGAAAAAACACTATTTTACTTGTTTCGTCAACCAACATAGCCGTCTTGTCAAGTGGTTTCAAACCAAGAATTTGATCCCACAAGAACGTTTAGCACTTGATCATGTCCCGAAAGAAAGGTACACATGAACATAGTGAAAGAGGTGTCAGCATTAAAGTTTAGTAGGTTTTAGTCCTCTTTCGTATACGTTTCGCTTCTCGGAATTTCTGGGGACCTCTTTGAGGAATAATTTAGCGTATTATTATTTATTACTTGTAACGCTAGTCAGGTAATGTTTAATCAGAAACAAAACATTTTACGCCTCAAAGGCACCTTAAAACTTATTCTCGGTGTCCGAGTATATGAGTGTTTGATGTAAGTTCTCAGACAAAAATCTTCAGCAGTGATTGTTTCATAATTCTGATATAATTGACGCGCTGTTATATCTACGCATAAACTTTGCTCTTAGAGATAAATATATAAAACAACGATAGAAACATAATTTAAAACCTGTACACTTGTGTATATTTTTTACTCTGGATATAGGTCATAATGGGAACATTTTTCTTAGAGAAGATATAACATTTATACAAGGTTTCCGTTCTCGTCTCAGGGTTTTCTCTGCGCTAAGTCTGAGTGCGTTAAAAACTGACGTTCAGAGAGAGTTGTCGAAAATACTCGTGGAATTTTTTTCTCATGAGACACATGTACCTTTCAATGATGCTGTTTCAATATGTGTGGACTGACAAAATACCGATTTGTGCGCGATAGCGGACACTGAGACTTTTTCAGCAAGGAGATACCCTGGAAATAATGGTCTCTTTACGAATGAATGAACGGCTTAAAAAAATAAATAAACTGCTTTAGATTTCTCAGTAATCTATCAGGAATTTTACACAGGGATTTTTTTAAAAATCATTTTCTTGATAGGGGCAGTCAGCAAAGGAAGATTAGTCCAATTTTGTTTTTACAACAACTGAGTGATTTCTCTTGCGCTAATTGGTCGAGAGCTATGTCCCGAAAACAGTACAGCTAGACTAGGCCTAGATCCAAAAATCCAGATTTTCGGGGAAGGGGGGGTTTAGAGCCAAATAAGATTTTTTAGACTATAATGTTTGGGAAACATACAGCCGATACCAAGAAAAAAAGACAAAAACAAATTTGGGTGGGTGGTTCTAACTAAGAAGTTCGGTTATAGGCCACATGAAATGTCAAACTCTACTAAGTGCTTACTGTCGTTATCGTGTGTATACTATATATGTAAACTAGACGAACCACATACTCGTCTAGTAAATATATTACCATTTACCGCATTTTTTGCAAATTATGTCATTATTTCAGAAAAAAATTGTGGTAAATCGGGATTTTTAGAATAAATTTCCAGATTTTTAGAGGCAAAATTGGGATTTATAGGCATTTTTGGAGAATTTCCAGATAGATTTTTAGGACATTTTTCGGTATTTTGTATCCAGGCCTAGCACAAATCGACAACAATTTTTTTAACATCATTTTTATGGTCGATTAGAGTACAGACCATGGAAAATTGTTTTCGATTTGTTAATTAATCTACAAATACTGACTGAGTAGGTACAAAATCGTTATCATTACAAATCCACCTTTAATCTTTTGGACACCATTGTTTTTTGCGGGAATCTGCTGCTTCTTCTTTCTTACCGAGCCATGTGGTAAAATTCTTCCCGACGCTAATCCCTCTGGTGAGCAACCCATCCAGTAGGTTGAGATCGATTTTGGAAAACCTTGCCGAATGCGCCAGGACGAGTCATCTAGTACGTAATATTGTTCCCCCTTGAAAAAGAACGTCTTGCCATTTTTCCACTGAAGAGCAGCGTGTATGTTTTTCTGTAAACCCGGAAGTACAGACCGAATAAGCTTGGGGTAACCAGGATCAACGCTTTTCTTATAACCATCGTAACGCCAAAACTTGTCGCCCTTGAAGATATATAAGTGTCCGTCAGCTCCCCTCTCAACTGCCGCATCCATGTTATGGACTGCGCTGGGTAGGTTTAGATCTGTAACGTTTGATGCCCCTTTCGCTAGATTCATGTTTTTGTACGTCCAGTACCTACAAAGAAAAAGAATTTTTGCGATTAAGGAACCCCATTCTAAAGCAACCATAGCATACGCGAGCTATCCAATGAAAAAAAATCTGAATGCAAGGATGGCAATACCGCAAAGGGCTGATTTATTTGTGGAATTCATGGGCTCCTATAAACCTTGTCACAGTTTTCGACGCCATCTTGACGAGTAGGCAAACGCGTGAGAAATTACAATGTTTGTATGAGAATCTAATGTGGAATAATTTCCGTCGAACGGCTTTTCTGAAAAAAAAAAAAAAAAGAACGCGTCGGAAAAGCCTTTTTAACTTTCGAAGGGAAAAAGCCTGAAGGACGAAGTTGGGCTCTAGCCTGGGCAATTCATTTCTTTTTCTCCGATTAGAAACAGTTCAAAAGGGTCTTCAAGGGATTTCAAAGTGCCAACCGTTGATTTTTTACCATTTACATGGGCAAAACCGGTTGGCTTACAGTTCAGTGGGACATGGTAAGCAAAATTCTGTACGTGTCTAGTAAATTTCGTACCGGAATCGCGTTTACTATTTGCACAAATCAGTTCCATTTGCCAGAAAACGGTCGTGAATATTCCACTTGCACATCTCCCATAGTACATCTAATTTGCCACCCAAAATTTTTTCATAACCTTTGTTTTTCATTTCTCCTGGCTATTACAGCCGTCCCAAGAGAAATTGAAAACAAGGTGTATTATGGGCGATGCCGCAAGTGGCGTATGCTTGAAACTGCTTTAAAGAAATGCCGGAACACGAATTTCTGTTTGGACCCTTCCGAACCGGGAGAACAATACGACCTTTTTACCTTTCAGACGTCCTGTTGCTCTCGGAGGTTTTCTAAGGAAATGACCCGAAAAGCAGTGTTCCATGTACTTTTCAACCGTATTTTCCGGAAACATTTCATAAATGGTGAACAACATTTGTTTCCAAGAGGGAAAACTGTAACACTGAAAGATAAACAACGTCCATCACTGACTGAATAACCTTTTAATTTGCTTTTTTAATATTCTGTTCTTTCTGGTTTAAAAAATATATATATATATTCTTTTTCTTTCATAAAATAACCATAATAAAATAAACAACACTTATCAGGAGGAGTAGTTTAGCACTGATACGTAAATGAAGATGTATACCAGTTGATACGTGTGCACGCCTATCGGCAGAGTGCTCAATAGAAGGACTAGAGCGTAGTATAATAAGAAGATATGTATAATTATATACATAAAAATATTTTCTTCATATTGTTACTTGTCACCAATTACAATTTATACACCATAACCGTTATCACAATCCATAATACAATTCTACAAAAAAAAAAACTAGAAAAAACTCTGGGTATAAATATATACAGAGCTATTGGTACAGAAAGCTTTTAAACACGTTAAAATAATTCACTCAAAGTAGTTCATGCTTAGGTATTGCTGCTTTGCAGCTGATCTCCCGGCGGCCTTGTAGATTGACTAGAACTAGAAATGCCTTTGTCTCTATTGGGAACTTAACATATTTTTACATGCGACTTCGGCGAAAAAACACTATTTTACTTGTTTCGTCAACCAACATAGCCGTCTTGTCAAGTGGTTTCAAACCAAGAATTTGATCCCACAAGAACGTTTAGCACTTGATCATGTCCCGAAAGAAAGGTACACATGAACATAGTGAAAGAGGTGTCAGCATTAAAGTTTAGTAGGTTTTAGTCCTCTTTCGTATACGTTTCGCTTCTCGGAATTTCTGGGGACCTCTTTGAGGAATAATTTAGCGTATTATTATTTATTACTTGTAACGCTAGTCAGGTAATGTTTAATCAGAAACAAAACATTTTACGCCTCAAAGGCACCTTAAAACTTATTCTCGGTGTCCGAGTATATGAGTGTTTGATGTAAGTTCTCAGACAAAAATCTTCAGCAGTGATTGTTTCATAATTCTGATATAATTGACGCGCTGTTATATCTACGCATAAACTTTGCTCTTAGAGATAAATATATAAAACAACGATAGAAACATAATTTAAAACCTGTACACTTGTGTATATTTTTTACTCTGGATATAGGTCATAATGGGAACATTTTTCTTAGAGAAGATATAACATTTATACAAGGTTTCCGTTCTCGTCTCAGGGTTTTCTCTGCGCTAAGTCTGAGTGCGTTAAAAACTGACGTTCAGAGAGAGTTGTCGAAAATACTCGTGGAATTTTTTTCTCATGAGACACATGTACCTTTCAATGATGCTGTTTCAATATGTGTGGACTGACAAAATACCGATTTGTGCGCGATAGCGGACACTGAGACTTTTTCAGCAAGGAGATACCCTGGAAATAATGGTCTCTTTACGAATGAATGAACGGCTTAAAAAAATAAATAAACTGCTTTAGATTTCTCAGTAATCTATCAGGAATTTTACACAGGGATTTTTTTAAAAATCATTTTCTTGATAGGGGCAGTCAGCAAAGGAAGATTAGTCCAATTTTGTTTTTACAACAACTGAGTGATTTCTCTTGCGCTAATTGGTCGAGAGCTATGTCCCGAAAACAGTACAGCTAGACTAGGCCTAGATCCAAAAATCCAGATTTTCGGGGAAGGGGGGGTTTAGAGCCAAATAAGATTTTTTAGACTATAATGTTTGGGAAACATACAGCCGATACCAAGAAAAAAAGACAAAAACAAATTTGGGTGGGTGGTTCTAACTAAGAAGTTCGGTTATAGGCCACATGAAATGTCAAACTCTACTAAGTGCTTACTGTCGTTATCGTGTGTATACTATATATGTAAACTAGACGAACCACATACTCGTCTAGTAAATATATTACCATTTACCGCATTTTTTGCAAATTATGTCATTATTTCAGAAAAAAATTGTGGTAAATCGGGATTTTTAGAATAAATTTCCAGATTTTTAGAGGCAAAATTGGGATTTATAGGCATTTTTGGAGAATTTCCAGATAGATTTTTAGGACATTTTTCGGTATTTTGTATCCAGGCCTAGCACAAATCGACAACAATTTTTTTAACATCATTTTTATGGTCGATTAGAGTACAGACCATGGAAAATTGTTTTCGATTTGTTAATTAATCTACAAATACTGACTGAGTAGGTACAAAATCGTTATCATTACAAATCCACCTTTAATCTTTTGGACACCATTGTTTTTTGCGGGAATCTGCTGCTTCTTCTTTCTTACCGAGCCATGTGGTAAAATTCTTCCCGACGCTAATCCCTCTGGTGAGCAACCCATCCAGTAGGTTGAGATCGATTTTGGAAAACCTTGCCGAATGCGCCAGGACGAGTCATCTAGTACGTAATATTGTTCCCCCTTGAAAAAGAACGTCTTGCCATTTTTCCACTGAAGAGCAGCGTGTATGTTTTTCTGTAAACCCGGAAGTACAGACCGAATAAGCTTGGGGTAACCAGGATCAACGCTTTTCTTATAACCATCGTAACGCCAAAACTTGTCGCCCTTGAAGATATATAAGTGTCCGTCAGCTCCCCTCTCAACTGCCGCATCCATGTTATGGACTGCGCTGGGTAGGTTTAGATCTGTAACGTTTGATGCCCCTTTCGCTAGATTCATGTTTTTGTACGTCCAGTACCTACAAAGAAAAAGAATTTTTGCGATTAAGGAACCCCATTCTAAAGCAACCATAGCATACGCGAGCTATCCAATGAAAAAAAATCTGAATGCAAGGATGGCAATACCGCAAAGGGCTGATTTATTTGTGGAATTCATGGGCTCCTATAAACCTTGTCACAGTTTTCGACGCCATCTTGACGAGTAGGCAAACGCGTGAGAAATTACAATGTTTGTATGAGAATCTAATGTGGAATAATTTCCGTCGAACGGCTTTTCTGAAAAAAAAAAAAAAAAGATTTGTAAACTAAAGCTTCACTCCTTAGAATTCTCCTGAAAAAATTTGAGGGCGTTACATGCACTAGAAGACCTAGAACCACTTTTTAAAATTTTCTATACATTTGTCTGTAAGAAAGTCCCGGGAAAATTACAGACAAATGTATGGAAAATCTAAAGCAAGCCTCAGAACAGGCGCAAATTATTCGACATTAGAGAGATTAAGATTCATGTTTACGCCAAACGGCAGACGTGAATTTGTACCACGTGACCAAGTTTTCCCCTTATTTTCCGTTTACTCTTTATTGCTTCTACACAAAAATAAGAAGTTTTATGCCAGTTTTAGCCATAAGAATCGTTCGGGACTGTTTTTATCTTCTTATTTTCTTATCTGAGAAATTCTAAACTTGAGTCTGACGTTTGCCGTTTGCGGCAAACGTGAATCTTAATCTCTCTATTAGATTCTCGTACAAACACTGTAATTTCTCACGCGTTTGCCTACTCGTCAAGATGGCGTCGAAAACCGTGACAGGGTCTATTTTCGGCTAACAATTTTAGCCTTCCTCAGGGCCAGAGCCGTTCAGTGCAGCTCTGGCCCTGAGGAAGACTAATTTTGTTAGCCGAAATATTGGCGTCAATTAAATCAGCCCTTTGCTGTATTTTGCCAGCCTTTCATTCAGTTTCGTTTTAATTCCCACTTCAAGTGAGATCTGGCTCTAGCATCTCTACATTAGAGACCTTGCAAGAAGGAACCAATCGGTTTTATTAAGCGTTGAATGAGCCTGTATATTCAAGGGTTTTTACTATCCAATGAAACATTCAGCTGGGCTAAAACGCGGGAAAACGCAAGCTGACATTTGGCAATTACATTGAGTTGGATAATGGCGCGAAATCTGTCAACCAATCACAGTGTAGAAAGAAAGCAATGCAATGTAACTAAAGTGAGTGTCTAGTTTAAAACCGTCCTAAACGCAAAGAAATTCACTCCGTCCATTATTTCAACTGAGTGGTCAAAGCCGAAGCGAAATGGAAACTTTTCTAATCTTATACGTGAGCTCTAACCAGCACGCGAAAACGAAAACCAGAAAACGTCTGTTTCGAAATTGGAAAAGGTTGTTTTTCTGCACTGGCCATGGATCTTTTAAAAATAAGATTACGTAAGATTTGAGCCATATTATAACTGGTGATCCGAGCAGCTCCGACGTTTTATCGGTTCTCATGAGGGGCCCGTTTTTTGAAAGTCTCGGTAACTTTTCGGGCCTGGAAAGCTTATGTTAAACGTGTTTGCATTCATCATCAAAGTTCCTATAATTTTGAAAATGATACAATGAAACCATCAGTTAACGAATCAAAATTGACAGGTTTGTGAACTTGGACCTGTGCTACTATTTAACAGGTTTTAATTTTAAAATTTGCCTTCTGGTCCGAAAAGTTACAGAGCCTTTCGAGAAACAGGCCCCCTGACCTCGCACCTACCAACCACACAATTATTAATGGCCGCCAAACACAATCCACGCATCGACAAAGTATGAATCGTTATTCCTTTGTCATAATCTAATCGGGTTTGAGAGAGCCCCGAGGAAAGAGTCAGATAAAAAAGAAAAACAGTTACTCACTTTGATCCTTTAAATATGAAGGTAAGCCCGTCATACTGTCTCGTGTAAGATCAATATCACTCTCTAGACCTTCCCAGAACTCGGATATCTTCAGCGCTTCCGTAAAAACACCATAGTCGCCAACTGGCCAAAAATATGCGCCCTTAAACGCGTAGGTAGTCTCATCAGCGGTCATTACCATGGCATCAAGAGTGCTGTCACATGGATCTGGTTTTCCTGGGACAAACTGCCGCGTCGTGTGCACTTGAGGTGTTGTTGTAACTTTAGTAATTGTTGACTGTCCTGATGGCGGATTGGAAGAAAAAAGAAACGTGTCAAAAGTGGAAAAAATAAATGAAGAAAAAAAAATAGGCCACTCAACGTCAGGTTTATAACAGGTTAGATGAACTAATAGTCCGGGGGGTGTACTCCCTGTAATGGCCTAAAAGGGGGGAACTCCGCCCGTAAGGGGGTCGGGTACCTTTCACAGGCTTCAGGTATATGAAAGGTAAGGGGTTCTTAAAAATAAATGATACGGATTACTGTTAATTGTCTTTGGCTAAGACAGTTAGAAAAGAAGTAAAAAACCTAAAAAAAAATCTAGAAAGACTAATATGATTTCGTTAGAAACTTGGAAACATTGAAAGTGATCTCTCTCTCTCTCTCTCTCTCTCTCTCTCTCTCTCTCCCTCTCTCTCTCTTGTTATTCAAAGATCATTTTGCGGATCAGTCATTATAATCACCATCATTTTTTGTGCACCTGCATAATCTTTTTTTGGTTCAAACAGGAGCTCATAAGTCATGGGCTCCTGGCATCATTAACGAAACATCTCGGGAGAATTCCGATCCCTGGTATGAAATGACTGCGGCGTAGCTAATACGGAGCTAATACGCCGTAAACAAAATAGGCCTATACAAGAAATTCTGACAAAAATGTCTTGACGCAAAGACACTAAAACAAAAGTGAGCTTTCAAATGGTGGATTTTTTCGGGTGAAATGTGGACTCTGAGATATCGTCATTCAAAGACAGTGGATTTTAAGATTTTAGAGTAGATTTTATTCAATCATGTCTTAGTTTTTTTTGCGGAAAAAATAGAAAAGGATGTTTCTCACAAAGTGGGGTGGGTGAAGGGTAGTAGTAGGTGGTGTGGCACAACCTTCCATGGGCTGGGTGGGTAAAGAAGAGGTTGGTATCAAATGGGACGCATGTCCTGTTTCATCTACAGTCACCGCGTTGAGTCACCGTGGCGAATTTCAATAAAGTAAAGTAAAGACTATTTTCTTTAACTCACTATAGAGCTGCTGAATTCCCATAATGTCATCGCGATGAAGTTGAAGTCCCGGACGACTACCACGGTAAATCGGATACATGATGGCGTCCTTATTTGAAGAATGATCAAGACCCAGACTGTGCCCCAGTTCATGAAGCGCCAGCCAAAAAAGATCCACTCCTCCTCCTTTATTGTTGGTGGTAAATTGTTCTTCATCGTCAAAATGAACATCCCCAAAAAGTCCTGTTGTAGGCCAGAAAAACAAAAACAACAACAGAAAAAATATTGAAGGTGAAACATGATCGACCGGGTGATCGTAGTTTTGAATAGGACTGTTGTTGTTGACAGTGACTGACGTTTCGACAACCTGTGTGGTAGTCATCTTCACTGAGTCAAAGTGAGTTGTATCACGTCAGATGTTGGTATTAAACTTTGGTTATTGACATGATTGGCCAGCTAAGTCGTGATGTTATTGGTCGTCTGTCAGTTAAGCCCTTGTGACGTTATTGCTATGAAGACTCTTAAATGTCATTCTTTCAAGCAGCTAGTTTCTGCGTAATTTTGTATTGAATACCCACAGTACATCGATTTAAGTGAGATAGTTCATGTTGTGAACCTGGGTGTCATTGTGACTAGCCTGGCACACTTAAACTTATGAACGATTTTTGTGTTTGCTGGGGCTTTTTGGGAGTGCTTTCGTGAGTGCGTGTTTTGGAGTGCTAAGGTGTCCACTGAGCGGAGGTTAAACCTAGGTTTCAGGACCCGGACAGTGTCCCTTTCCCATGAATAGATGTGTCCCTTCGATGCAAGAAACAAATACAAAGATTATATGAACATTTTCCAGGACCAACTTGTGTGTATTCTGAATGGATCCAGGCGTCCCGTGAATAGAGGTTCCCGAGTTCTCACTCTACATCGTACATGGAGACGGAATATATTTTCAAGAAACGTACCTGCATTATTTCCAGGGAAGTACGCGAACGCAAGCTCCCCTCCTCTTCCATCAAAGGAGTATCCTTTATCTCCTTCTTTATCGAAGAAAATATCTATATCGGCTGGTCCACTCGTCACTTTGGTGAAGGTTAGCGGAGTTACCTTTGCCCACAAGTCCATGGCAGCCTTAATCGTTTTGTCTACGTCCTTTACTGACAGGTCTGCTGTATACTTCACCACCTTGTATTTTAAATCCTGGCGAAGTTTCAGAATAAAAACAGATTCACCTTACTTGAGTGTCAATGTATTTAGCACAAAAGTACTAATTAAGGCACTAATTTTACGTCTCCTGTTGGAGATGGGATCGCTATTTTAAGTGGTCATCTGAGCCACGCGAAGGTCTAGCCTCTTGCAACGCAAAGATTCATCGATTTTGCCCTTGTTGGCGTTGCGTTTCCTGGTGTGATCCTTAGATAGGGTAACGTTATTTTATCAGCTAAAATTCAAGTAAATAAATGCCCAGTTAAAAGAGAAACAAATCATCTAGTCATCATCATCTAGTACCAGAAAAGCGATGTTAGGAAATTTGTGTATTTCCATTAAATTTTAGTTTTTTTGAAATGAGACCTTTAAAAGATTCGAAGACGAGAACGAGATTTGACTTCAAGGGCCTCCAAGTTTTTAAACTATTCTAAAAAAATAAACATCCCGAAAAGCTTCATTGTAATTTTTTTTTTTACTAGAAACGTTAATATTTGCACTGTTACCTTTAATGAAAGAGGTTTAAAAGCTCTCTCTCGATGGCAAAATGATAAAACTTCTGACATTTGATAACCTGTTTCCGCCACTATGACATTCTCGCTAAAACTCGTAGTAGAATGACAACGGCTATAGCGTTTTCCCGCCAAAATAACACTGGTTTACGTGGGAGAACTACTTTTGGTACTCGTAGTCGTCCCCGTCTTAGAATCTACATTGTAAAGGTCTGTATTTTGGCACGTCATGGAATCTTCTTAACAGCATTGCGTAATAAACCAAAACTAAAAAAAAAGGGCAATTCAGTTCTTTTTTTCGTACGTGGTGGTGACTTACATGTTTACGCCACCAGGTGCCATGTAGAGCATATCTCCTTCTCCTCTTAAACTGCGCCGTATTGCCAAGATCACGAAAACCGCACCGTTGCTTGGTAACCAATTCTACGGTACTTGGGTCCAGTGGATTCCCTGTTTCATTGAGCCCCGCGAAATGCTGAAGTTTTCGCACGGCGTCAGAAACTTTTCCAGAATTTAGCTTTGTTTTTCCTATTTCCACATCAGCAGGCGATAAGTAACCATATCTTTCCAAGTAATTCTGTTGTAAAAATATGCATTCATCAGGATCAGTGCAATTTCTACTCTCATATTAAATTCTATTCTATATTGTACAACCCTGCCAGAGCCACCCTGCTAAACAACGCCAATCTCACGAACTCCGCGCGAAATATCTTAAGATAGAACGATTTTCCATCGACTTTGAAAAAATGGTTTCTGAGCCGTGTTCGTTTCTTACATTTTTTTATTAGCCAACAGTAACAATTATCAGAGAATGTCTTAGATTCATCTGTTTGCCACCAAAGAATAATACCTTAGATGGAAAAAGCAAAATTCGATTGTCTGAACGGTAGCCTAGTTTCTGTTGCCCTAAGTTACAGAAAATTTAATTTCAGTAGTGTTCTGCGGACGCAGGAGCCCACGCAAATGCTGGTCCTAAAAATAGCAAAAATTAATTCAAAATCCCGCAAAATACAAAAATAACTATAAAACGCCCATCCGCAAAATAGAACTCCCGCAAACATATAGTGCCGCACAATGTCAGTTAAAAGGGGGGGGGGGGGGGGGGGGG